AACAACAACAACATGTCTCTTTCATGTGTACACTTCCTTTTTTAACCCAGTCAAATTCAGCAGTGGGGGCTTGTATACCAACTTCAAGTGCACTAATGTTAATAGTTTCTGATAACTCACTACTATTGGACCAACCTCACATGTACACTTTTTTCAGTTGATCTTTTTAACGGAATCAGAAATTCTGGATGTGGGCATAGGCAATCTGTGTACAAATGAACTCTCCATGTGATTCTGATGTATGTTTGAGTTGAAGAACCTCTGCTCTAGATGCTTAATTAGGTATAACCTAATTATTTTTGGCAAGAACACTTCAGATATGCTGATATTACTTTGTGTTGCTGTTGTTGTTATGGGCCATCAAGTCGCTAACAACTCCTAGTGACCCTCTGTACAACTGCCCTGAAACCTGCCCTGTCCTGTGCTAACCTTATTGTCTCCGTAAAATGGTACGACCTCCAAATTGCATCACATCATAATGTATACAAAGTCAGGATGTCAAATTATAAATGATAACCAAATTTGATCACTTGACTGAATTGGAAGCTGCTGTCTCTTTCCATTGTATATGTTAATTTTCCTTTTGTAAGTAGATGATAAAAATGTACTCTTTTAACCATTTTTGTGGGTACAATTCAATGGCAGTACTTGCATTTTCCTGGTTGAGCAACCACCGCCACTATCCATTTCTAAATGTTTTTCATCATTCCAAATAGAAACTCTGTATCCGTTACTTAAAAACTTCCTGAATATAGATTTTTAAGATTGAAAAAAAAATTAAATAAAAAAATAAAATTAAATTAAAAAAACATGTCTATTGTGGAAAATACTCCACATTGTAGAAATATGTATCATAAATCCCTACCATACCAACTTTGATGCGTTTTGCTATAGATTTCCTTATTTATAGATTGTTTTTGTTAAATGCCATCAAGTAGAACTGACGCTTCAACAGGTTTTCAGAGGTAATTCATTCCATTTGCCCATCTTGCTCCTGCAGAGAAGCTAGCTGGTGGATTCAAACCACATACCTTTCTTTGCATTGGCAGTGCAATCCCTTGACACTAAGCCAGCAGAGTTCCTTCATTTATAGATAGTAACCTGAATAACTGTAACTTTTAACTAAAATTGAAAGAATGCTGTGGCTAGATTCTATTCATGTGTATGTATGTTATTTTGTTTATACATATATAATTTTGATTCCTGTTTCTTCACTTAATTTTATAACTTAAAAATTTTCTTTGTTTTGAGGGGCAGTCTCCTCCTATGCCAGTCAGTTCCAATTCAACAGTACACAACAACAATAACAACAAAAAAAACCCTACCCATTTTGTTTCATAATAATCCATTATATTAATATAACATTATTTAACCATTCCTTTCGGGTAGACTTTGAAATTGCTACTGTTCTCACCATTCTGAATAATGCTGTGATTAATGTTTATAAAATTGTATAAACTTCTCACTGCTTCACGGATTATTTGCTCAGAATTAGAATCTTGTTGTTTGGGGTCATCATGTTCAAAATACGACGTGACATTTTACCATCTTTGCCTCTGAGAGCACCTTGGTTGTACTTCCTCCAAGGCAGACTTGTTTCTCCACCATAACAGTCCAAAGGCCTGAATCGGTTTTTCTTCTGTCGTCCTTATCCATAGTCCAGCTTTCAGATGCACAGGACACAACTGAAAAGACCTTGACTTGGACCACATGCCCTTTAGTCTTTAAACTGGCATCCTTGATCTTCAGCACTTTGGAGAGGTCTTGACAGCAGATTTTCCCAGTACAACTCATCTGTTCATTTTTCTGGCTGCTGTTACCAGGGGTGTTGAGTGTGGAGCCAAGTAAAATGAAATGGGTGACATTGTCAGGTTTTTTTTCTCCATCTGTTGTGATGCTGTCTGTTAGACCAATGGTTAAGATTTTTGTTTTCTTATGTTGAGATGTAATTTGTATTGAACACTGTAGTATTTGATCTTGCAGCAAGTGCTGCAAGTTTTCTTCACTTATTGCAAGCAAGATTGTGTTGAGTCCAAAATTAAGAAAATGTTTAAAGCTCTTGTAACTATTGGCAAACTATTTCCTGTGTTAAGTGCATGCTCGGAGGGCCTCCCAGGGCAGGGTGCCTGAGGGACCAGAGAGCGATGAGAAGCCTAGGAGGGTTTCCTGTCTTTGCCCCTGAGCATCCACTCTTTCTTCTTCCCTCAGATCCTTTTTCTATTTTCTCCAGATTAAAAAAAAAATTGTCTTGAATGGCTTCAGGAAAGGTGACAGAATAGGGTGTGAAACCTATGTTCTAATTCCAAATTCCAGGTTAAGAACTTGGTTCAAATGAGTCAGGCGTTCGTGCCTGAACCCATCGGCCATGACCTGTGAACAAAGCCCAGTTGCTTCTGCCATAACCACATGTGGAACAGGAGGATAAGGAGATGGCTGTAGGCCAGTTTTGGAAAACTGGAGCAAAGCAGTTCAGGAGAGCACAGGGCCTAAGGACACAGGTGCTCCGTATCTCCAGGACTGGTGATTGTTTGCCATTTTTCAGTCTTCATTCTGACATACCCTGTGTGCCCCTGAAGGTAGTAGAGGAGCTCACCAGAGAGCCTCTTGGGCTGGCTGCTACCACTAACAGTGACTCCTTTCTCTTCTGCTCTCTGGGCTGTAAACCTTGTTCAAGTGGTGAAAGTTTGGTCCTTGGGTGTTAGGGCCCTACAGGAAATGTTAGTATAAAGGAGAGACACAGAAAGGCATGTAATAAAATACCACAGTCACTTCTTCCTAAAAGCAGTTCCTTTAAATCTTTCTGTGTTCTTTCTTATATAAACATTGGCTATTTTCCATGAAGCACCAACACATTTGCTCACTGGGAAAGCCAAATGAAAGCCTTAGGGTTTGGCTTGTTCCGCTACCTTTGGGGCAGCTGTTAACATTGTTTATTTAAAAAGAGGTGAGCAGTAATGCTATTCTTTTTTAGTTTTTCTTCAATATCGTCTTATAAATAATACTCTAAGGCCTATGAAAAAATTTGTTTTGCCTACAAGGCTGACATTGGTTTAATGTCTTAAATCCGTGGTGGCCTAGTGAGAGTTTCGCCTCCAATCCAGAGTCTGGTGGTCCAAATCCACCAGCTGCTCCAAGGGGGAAAGATGGGTGATCTCTTTTATTTACAGCCTCTGAAAACCTGCTAGAGGGTCAGCTATGAGTTGATTCCATCCAACTTGATGGCAATGAATGGTGGTTATGACTGTAAAGAATCGGAAAAGGAGAGAAACAATGGCCTACACAGAAACAGGCTTAGGAATTCTGGAAAACCTTGAGCTGCAAGCGAAGTACATGAAAATAGAATATAATGAGTCACTGAGATTTGCTTGCTTTCTCTCTGGCCCCAGGTCCCTGAAAACCAGGACCTGTTCTTCCACCACCCTGGTCATGTCATGTGCTCTTTCCCTTCCTAGATGCGCGTGCTGGACAAACTGATGGTCGAGCGACTCTCTGCAGAGAGAACTGAGTGCCTCAATCGCCTGCAGCAGCACTCAGATATGGAGAAGCAAGAGGGAGAGAAACGACAGGTAAAAACGGGACCCCCATCCATAAAGAAGTCATGTTCTGCTACATGCTACAACACAGACCTTGAAAACACTGATTTGCACCCAAAGCAACCTCATGTGACAAAGCTGGACTGTCCCATAAGGTTCTGGTTTTCCCTTCGCCCAAATTAACATGTGTCTGCTCTCTAGAGGGAGCTCTGGTGGCGAAGTCCAACAAATGGGCACCTCTCTCAGGGATTAAATCCACCAGCTGCTGCGAGGGAGAAAGATATACAGTTTCCTTCTGTGCTGTTTCCAACCTCTGAAAACCAGCTGGAGGGTCAGCTGAGTCAGTTCTTGGCCATCTCCAAGTTACAAATGAGAACTGTTACTAACACTATCATTAAGTGAAATTGGTATGAGAGTTGGAACAGGTTGATGACAATCTTATTTAGCCACATGTTAGTGCAAGAAAAGGCTGGATAATAATAACAATAAACAAAAAGGCTGGTGCGTTTTCAGTATTTAAAAGGAACATGTGCAGCAAGTGAAGGTGATTACGATGAAGAATTTGTTGCAAGTTCGATTATCTCAGAGTAAGGGTAAGTTTACATAACCGGAAAGGCAAGGAGGAATTGTTCATAGGTTGGACAGTCCCAACCCAGAAACTGCTTATCTGTATCACATTTTGTTTACCCATTTATCCATTGATGGTTATTACCTAGTTTGTTTCCATCTTTTTGATATTGTGAATAATGCTGCAATGAAAATAGGTGTGAATATGTTTATTCTTGTCACTGCTCTTATTTCTCTACGATATAGACCTAGAAGTAAGCAAGCACATGCTCTGAAGCAGCAAAAAATGCCTAGTTTGGATGGCTGAGTGTTGGTGGGTATTTGAGTCCAAGGTAGCTCAGTCACTCTAATGAAGAATCGAGATAGTCTTAGTTTGGACCCTAGATGAATTGCCTAGAGATTGCAGAGAAGGCTGTGACCTATGGGAAGGGACCACTTTTGGCTTTGACAAGGTGGTAGCCTCAACTTCTGCAAAGTCCATTCATGATGCTTTAAGTCATAAGCAATGTCTCAAATACACAATTCTTACATTTATTTGGGTTCTTAGATGTCCTTGGTGGATGAATTAAAAACCTGGTGCATGGTAAAGATTCAGAATCTGGAGCTGAAGCTTTCAGGAGATTCTCGGACCTCCAGGACTAAATCCACGCCATCAACTTGTGAGTCCTCTACAGGTAATTGAACCATCATGGTGCCCTCTGTCCAAAGGTGATGAAACCTGACCAGTCTCCTCTCTCTCATCAGAAGGCAGCCCACAACCATTGTGCTGTGGGAGATACTGGACTTCAGTGTAAGCTCTGTAGAGGGGCAAGGACCACGTCTGTTTTGCTGCTCACCACGCTGTGCCCAGTTCCTGTATAGTAGTGAAACGCTCTTGCTTAAGTGCTTGGAAATATTTGAAAGAAGGACTAAAAGAGTCATTGGTTAGTAATATAGTGCTTTCAAGTTCAATGTTAATGGTCTCAGCTGTGGACCCAAAGATAGAGGCTGATGAATAAGCCATGTATCCAAACAGGATACTTTCTTTCCCTTACCCTTGGTGCCTCTGGCCTTTTCTTCTTCTTGATGTGTTGTTTTTGTTCAACTGTATGGAACCGTACTAAACAGTGCATGTATTGAACTGCCACAGGTGCTAGGTAAGAGGCTCTGGGGTAAAGCATCTTTACCTTAGCCCCAGTGATTCCAGTCTGTGGTAATCATTTTGAGGATATTCAGAGCCTTGATAATTAGACCTCAGTGAGAGGTATTTTGATATGTTCTCTTTTCTTTAGAGTGCTGTGTGGCCAAAATGGCTTAAACTTGTCTATTAGCCTAAAGGTTAATCATTCAGACTCACCTGGCACCACGGAAGAGAGGCCTGGTGATCTGCTTCTCTGAAGATTTCAGCCACAGAAACCCTGTGGAGCAGTTGTGCTCTGTAACATGTGGGGTTATCATGGGGTGGAATCTCTGTCAATAGAGATTGTTACCACAGACAGCTGAGGGTCTGTGGCTTTATCCTCTTTGGGCTCACAGTGTTGGGACACATTCTGGGCCCTTGTTTCATGGTAGGAGTAGTTATGGAGGTGGTTGTGGAGCTCTGGGTGTGTGTGGTAGAACCAACTTTCCAAATTAGAGGTTGAATCAAGAAATGAGCACCCTGAGGCCACGATGTAGAAAGGAACCAGAAATGAGCAAGCAGGGGCATTCGTTTTCATAAGTAAATGCTCAATTCTGTTTTGATAGAGGAGTTGGGTCAACTCTAGCTATCAGGAAGTGAGACTCAGAGGTTTCTAGAGTAGAAAAAGGCCAACACCATTTCTGGCTTACATACTACCAGTGTGGTAACCGTGAAGGCCCTGACAAGCAAAAATATTTATCTGGAGGCACAAAGTGGCAGAGAGGGACACAAATGTAAGAGGGAAGAAACTCAGAGGAAAAGTTGCAGGTGTTGGGTGGTAATTGAGAAGGTGGTTTCTGACTCCCAGTTCTCTCAGAGAGACCAAGCCACAGACGCATGGCTTTGTGAAATGATGGTTTACTTTGATTCCTGTTTTCCTCCTGAAACAGGTGCGGATCAATCAGTGGTGACTGCCGGTCTGATGCCAGCTTCCGAAGGTTCCCCTCAGGTGGTCAGGCCCAAGGAGAAGGCCGTCCACGCCCCCACTTCTCACAAGCTGCAGCAGGACCTGTCTTCTTCTGACTGTGCAGGCTCCCGGCTGAGGAACGCCAGGGTCCAGACAGCCACACTGCCTTTAAAAGAAGCAGCCCGGAGCGATCAGCAGGCTGGGCCCTGTGTTGACAGAGGCACTCAAACGAAAAAGTCTGGGAGAAGTGGACAGACGAGACATCGGGCCCAGCAACCAGCATCCACCAACACTTGTGGGCCACTGCCTCCCCCAGTGACAGGCAGTGAGCAGACAGCTCCTCATGTTCGAGACACCTCCCAAGCCCTGGAGCTCACCCAGTATTTTTTTGAGGCTGTTTCTACCCAGATGGAAAAATGGTATGAAAGGAAGATTGAAGAAGCACGAAGCCAAGCTAATAAAAAAGCCCAGCAAGACAAGGCTACGCTAAAGGAACACATTAAAAGTTTAGAAGAGGAACTTGCTAAACTAAGGACTAAGGTGCAGAAGGAAAATTAGGACCTGGAAGTGAAACGGGAGAAGATTCTTGAGGATTCATCTTTTGCCCAAGGTTTCAGCTGTATGCACATGGCAGACCTGCCTTTACAAACTACTACTTTCTTTTTAATTTTATTTTATTTTAATGAACATTTACAGAGATTTTTTATTTCCATTTATTCCTTGAACCACTACTTTCTGAAATGTGCCAGATGCATTTCCTATGCCCTGAAGTTATGAAAACTTTTAACAATTAAACTGAAACTAGGGGAAGCTTCCTCGGTTTCAGGTTTCATTACAAACTCTCCACTTTAATCCCGGTTCATCCGGAGTTCAGAAGCTTAGATTAAGTGACACAGGCTAAAAGGAGCTGAATGATGGGTAAGCTTTGACTCTAAAATTAAGGATGTGTGACATAATAAACATGAAAATAAAGGGGGGGAAATCCATCCCTTGTGAACTCAGTCATTCATAAATTTAAACACACCTTCTGTGCCTAGTTAAGTGTGTCTCTTTCTAAAAGAGTGTAATCCAAAATGCGCTAAACCCTCTTTCTCAAGTTCCAAATTGCAAATCCCAAAGTGCTGATATTTGTAACCAAATGAAAACTCTTCAAACAGATTTTTGTGGAGAAAGATATTTTCATAATGTTGCAAGATCTGGTATCCCTTAAAATTATTTGGAAAGTCAGAATCTATTGACATAATGAGTACTTTGGCCTATAGCATGGCTAATGAGCTTAGATGAAAATGCTTTATGTCATCTGATCCTAGGTTCTGAATTTTGAGCCAAAAAGGAGATTAATCATAGTGATTTAAAAAAGTTACTTACTTAACAATTATCCCAAATTTCATTATAAAATCAGATCCACTTACTTTAGGGTACTTTTCTGAATTTATCGATCTCAATTTTATAAAGAAATAGGGTACTTCCTGAAGATATTTGGTTTTGTATTCAGTTCTTTGAAGACCACTAAAAGCTTTCTACTGCTTTATAGTAACTGTGTCAGGCTACATAACTTGGTAACTCTTCCCCAGTTTCAAAGAACTTTCAGGATTTTGCTTTGATCCACCATGAATAACTATAAACACAAAGTTTTATTGAGAAAGTAATTATTTTCAAACTTGTCCCTTGGAATTTAGGATTATGCTTATCTCAAAATTCCATGTATGCATAGAAACCTGAATTCTATAAACACATATTAACCAGGAACCTAATTACAATGTCCACAAGTGTAAATAAAATACTCATTGAGCCAAAGAGAAAATGATGACTTAACATGGGAACGCTCAACAAAGTAGGCTTTCAATCCTTTGTCATTGTTGTTTTTATTAAGCTCATTTTTCTGTGTGTCATCTGTAGGGAGTTGTCTTAACCCAAAGGGGTGCCTCACTGTAGTCTGAACCCACCAGCCTCCCTATGGGAGAAAGATGGGCAATTTGCAGCCTCAAAAACCCAGTGACTGGTCAGCTGTGAATTGTTTCTTACTTGACAGACATGTAACAATCCAGGACCATTGTTGTTGTTGTTGTTGTTACAAGCTGTCGAGTAGCCTGCGACCCATAGCGACCCTATGAGCAGCAGCTCTGAACCCTGCCCTGTCCTAATTCTGAAACACCAACACCTATTGTCCCAGTCACTGTATCAGTTCATCTCATCTGAGGTCTTCCTCTCCTGCACTGTCTTTCCATCCTTCAAAGCATGATGTCCTTCTCCAAGGACCGGTTCCTCCTGGCCACATACTCAAAGTAGGTGAGTCAGAGCTTCAAAATCCTAGCCTCCAAGGAGAGTCTGGTTTCTCCAAGACAGACCTATTTGTTTTCTTGGCGGTCCATGGGATGTTCAAGACTCTTCTCCAGCACCACAACTCAAAGGCATAGATTCTTCTGTCATCCTTAGTCATTGTTCAGTATAACAAGTAATTTTGAAGACCATAGTCTGGATTAGGCACCTTAGTAAACACTGTTCATAATAAAAGTAACTTGATACTCTACTGATGTTGTTAGGTCCTGCTGAGTCAATTTTGACTCAACCTGTGCCCATGTGACAGAGTAGAACCACCTTGTATGTGCTAAACTGAAATCTTTACGGGATCAGATCAGTCTTTTTTTCCAAGTCACTGGCAAGTTTGAACCACCATCCTTTTAGTTTAGAGGTCCACACTTAACCATTGTGCCACCAGGGCTCTTGTGTTATAAGTAAGGAACTTGTATATGGAATGTATCTCAGGTGTATGTCTGTGAACTTGTTTTACCATATAGAGCACTGCCAGACCTTTCCCACTGGACTGCTAGTTTAGAGGCACTTTCCTGCTTCCATTTGTCTACTCGTTTTCCATGCAGAGTCACAGAATTAAAAGAGTTACAATATATTTCTAAATCTCTATCCCCAGCAAGGTGTCACCTAATCTCCTTGGAGCCATTCCACAGTAAACAAGAGTTTACCAAGAGCTGCCTAACACGCAAAAGAAGAAATTCTGAGTCAGTAAATTATATTCCGAACTACTGATTTTCACTTATCACATCTTATTGGTACAAGTTGCCATACAGTGGTCACTTGTGGTTGCTGTGAGGCTGAACACTGGGGACACTGATGTGTCAGATGTGTTAATGACTGGTTACCCAATGCGGACAGAGAGGGGGGTGGAGCTCCCTGATTAAAACGATCTTGGAAGGCGGAGTGGCATCCACTTCTGTAATAGCTTGCCTCTGGAAACCCTATGAACCTGGAGAGAGGATGAGAGACACTCAAGCGTTGAGGGTTCTCCTTCATAGGGTCGCTATGAGTCACCTGTGACTCGATGGCACTGAACAGTATCTTATTACCTCAATGGATGTCCTTGTCAAAGAATGTAAAAAAGTAAGTTTGAACTACCATAACTATACTACTATACATGCTTTGTAAACTAGCCATTCTTATTTACAGTCACAGTTAAAAGACTAGAGAGGAATGAGAAAACTCAAAATAGACCTAGTCTGGCACATTATGTGGCTTTGTCCCAGTAGAAAAAGAAGAAAACCCAATAGAGGCAGGGAACTAGAACAGGACCAGCCAAACCCCTAACCAAAAGGAGATAGGATCCTCATAAAATCAATGCAATTGCTTATTTTCAACAAACATACTTGGTCTTTTTGCCCTCAGCATTGTCATAAACTTATCTCCTAGTGTATATCTTTGCCCCCACTCACCTCCTTGTGCTGTTTCACAAAATAAGCAAATTCCGCAATGCCCTGTACTTTTCAGGGGAAATGGGACTGTTAACAATTTATGTTAAGAATTTGTCAAGGAGGTTGTTTCAAACTGAGACTGAAATTTCTCACAGCAGTGGGAGAAATGGCTTAAAACATAGAAAAGTTGGAATGTTGCTATACTTTGGAAAAATTGTTAGTGTATCCTAGATAACTTGTGATAAGTTGAATATATTAGTTCTAAGATTACTTTCAGCCTTGGTTACCAAAATAAAGGTAGCAGTGTTTTCAGGTTTACATCTTCTTTTTGAGTCATGTTATTATCTGTGAGAGGTATGTTGTCTTGTAACACTTTGATTATCCTTGTAAGTATTAAATAGCACTCAGTACAATTCATATACCCTTTTTAAAAAGTCTTAGTATTTTGTTCACTCTGCATTTGTGAAGCTAACCTAATTTTATGGTTCCTAAGAGTGCCTTCACCCAATCGTACTTCACCTTGTGTTGATAAGTGTAATTTAGAATAACATGTGTTTTAAAGAAGAAATCCAATGCACTGCATGAAAACAAAACAAAAACAGTGCTGTTAACAAAGTAAGATTTTTCACTACAAAAATCTGAACAAATGTTTTCTTCAAACTGTTGACCATCTGGAAAATTTGAGCAAAAGGATAGAGCATTGTTTGCAATAGCTCAATTATGTGACAATTGAGAGCGCCATACCTTTTTTGACTAATAAATTGTTCCTAAAAGGTAAAATACATTTCTTCTTGTAAAATGAGCATTCTAGAAGCCAATTAAGTGAATAAAACTTAAAGGACAAAGTTAAGTGTGTTTCTCTTTTTAAAGACTTTTTAAGGATAACTTTCACAAGTAAATAAAAACCATCAAGCATTTTTCAGTTCTAACTTTAAGGAGAAATATCCTTTCCCTTTAATACTGTATTTACACCTCAACCTGAAAAGAAGACACAACACATTTTAAATAAATGAAGAATGTGGCATCAGGATTGGAGAAAGATTCAACAACCTGCATTATGTAGATGACACAACCCTGCTTGCTGAAACTGAGGAGGACCTGAAGCACTTGCTTCAGAAGGTCAAGAACTGCAGGCTTCAATATGGATTGAAACGCAACATCAAGAAAACAAAGATTCTCACCACTGAGCTAATTGGCAGCATCAGTATGAATGGTGAAGACTGAGATTGTTAAGTTTTAGTTTGCTTGGTGTCACAATCAACACTCTTGGCACCAGCAGCCAGGAAATCAAGAGACAGATTGCATTGGGAAAGTCAGTTGTCAGGGACCTCTCCAGAGTACTGAGTAGCAACGATGTCAAGCTGGAGACGAAGGTGTGCCTGATCTAGGCCATGGTCTTCGCAATTTTGTGTTTTGCATCAGTGAGCTGGACAATGACTAGGGGTGATAAAGAGAATTGATACCTTGGAGCTGTGGTGCCGGAGTATTGGATATACCATGGACTGCTAGAAGAATAAACAAGTTTGTCCTGGAGGGTGAAACCGAGCTGCTCCTTGGAGGCAAGTATTCTGAAGCTTCGTCTGACATACTTAGGGCATGTTGCAAGGAGGGACCAGTCCTTTAAGAGGGACATCATCTTTGGGAGGATGGAGGGACAGTGCAAGAAAGGAAGACCCTCGAAGAGATGGATCAATTCAGTGATTGGAGTAATGGGGGAGTAGGTGTCCCAGAGACAGTAAGGTTGGCACAGGATAGAGCAGGGTTTAAGGCTCTCGTACATAGGGTCACTATGAGTCACAAGCAACTCGACAGCACATTACAACAACACGTGATTTTTTTATTCTTGGTAAGAACTGTAAATTTAATCACAGTATCCAGGTGCTTGACACAAACATGAAAAAAGCCTATGGTGATGTCTAGGTTGGTGTATAATATCAAACACCCCCCCCCCACCAAAAAATATATATGCAAGCTGCTTCCTTTTCTACTAGCATTCCGCTATTTATTCCATGCAAGACAGATAGTTTAGGTCAGGGTAGGCTTGCTAAACTTTGGACTCGGCCTCTTAGCTTCTCCTGCTGGCATGACAACAATAATATAATTAATGGGAAAATGTTATCTTTCCTCAAATGTTAGCATTAGCCATCAAATCTCTGCAGGCAAATCCACAGGAATGCTTGTATCATGAGTTTAAAACTTCCTACCAATCAGATTTGACAGGAGGAAGTGGCATGGACAATCAACCGTAACAAGTGCGCACATGCCATAGTTTTCATACTTTAAAAAAAATTAAAATGTACAACACAGTGAATTTTCGTATATCCACAGTTAACCAGTCAATATAAATTAATTTTTATCATCCACAAAAAAGACCTGTCTTTACTAGCAGTTATTCCTCATTCCATCCTGGGATCCACTAATATTCTATAGATTTCCCTGTTTGTGGTTATTACACACAAATGGTATTATCTGTGATATTCTGTGACTAGCAACTTGCTGTAAAGGGTTATCCATGTATCAAAATCTTACTAATGGTGGCTATAATACACTTAGGGAGCCCTGATAGGGGAGTACACTTAAGTACTGCCTTGTTAAAGATGGACCATTATAACCCCCCAAGCACTCCAAGGGTAAAGAGTAGGCATTTTCCTCCCGTTAAGATTTAGAGACTCAGTAGAGCATCACCGTGAGTCAGAATCTCCTTGCTGGCAGTGGATGTGGTACACCACATTTTATCCATCACCATTAAGGGGCATTTCCGTTCTTTCCATTTTGGGGCTATTATGAATGATGCTGCTATCAACATTCATCTCTGTATTTCATTTTTCTTGGGTATTTACTAGAGTGGAACTGCTGCTGGGTCGTATGGTAACTCTATTTAAAACTGTCAACTTGTCTCCAAAGTAGTTTTGCCATTTTACAGCCCATTAGCAGTATACGAGGGTTCTTATTTCCCCACAACCTCATCAACACTCAATATCCTCTGAATTTTTTATTCCAACTCTCTAAGTGTGAAGCATCTCACAGTGCCAATTATTAGCATTTTCCTGGTGGCTAATGATATTGAGCATCTTCTCATGTCCTTATTGGCCATGTATTGTGCAGAAACTTCAGACAAATCCAGAAACATCCCAAAATTCAGGGTACAGTTTCAGTGCTGAGGATGCTGATGCTTTTCTCTTCAATGTCCAGGACATGCCATGTTCCACGTTCTGGTATTGTCCCAGTACTACACATGCAAATAATCCAACTTGCCCATCACTGAGCCCAAGTTCCCCACACGTCCATGGAGGTTTAGCACATCCTCCAGAATAATGTATGGCTAAGACTTTGCTAAAGCAAGTGTTTTTTCTAACTCTTTGAGCTGCATATTGCCTTGAGTAATCATCATCCGGATTGTATCCTATTAGGGAGGAAAAAAAGTAAAATGAGGTCACTGCTGGACTTGGTTCAGTAAGGTTCTTGTTGATTGCCTTCAAGTTGAGCACAATTCATAGCGACTCTATGAAGGCCTGAAGCCCCTCTACAATTATCTACATTTATCAAAGTTCATAGTTTCCAGAGGCATGTTGTTTAGGAAGTGGATGCCACTCCTACCTCCAAACCTGTCAGGAATGTGTTTCAATAAGATACATTTTCTATTTCATAGAGCCAAGAACCAATACTAGAAGTGCTGCATAGTAGAAAAGCATGCCTCTACTGCCCCAATCATCATACTTCCCAAATCCTCATACTGTAATAGTTCCCATCTTTCAAAGACTAGATAAAGTCAAGCAAAAAGTCAGGTGATGCTAGTGAAGAGTGTAGATTAACATGAATTTACAAATTATCAGGCTATGCCAAATCTGGCATTTCGATTCTAAAATTATGATTATTTTAAACTACAAATAAATAGTTGGTCCATCCTCACCATGAGCTTGTTCTCACCTCTTCCATGGCACTTTTGTTTCTTTTGAATTCGTCCCTTGCCCAGTCCTTCAGATATTTGCGATCAGCATCATTTGGGACCTGCCGGATTGTTTGCAAAATCCTTCTGTATAGAAGGAGAACCTGCTGCCGCCTAATAAACTGTACAGGGAGAAAAAAAATGGCAATTACAAATGCACAATCACCCACCTGGGTGTTTGCTTTACGCAGACAAAACTAACCAGATTTTGATCCCCAATTTTTCAATACAAAGGAAATTTAAGAAAATTGCAAGAAATTTGGCGTATTTTCTTACTCGTTTATTAAACTGAAGAACGCTTATTGTCAAGAGCTTTAACGAGCCAAATACTTAAACGGGTATCTGTGTCCTGTAAATTAGTTTTAATGACTTTTTAAAATTACATTCGTGTAGATTCTTTAATTTCAACTGCTCTCTGCCACAGCCCTGTAAAACAGGCAGCACAGTATTTAATGTGGTCCTCGGGCAGTTAAAGCATCTCTTCGTAAAGGCGGCAGCCCTGGTGTCTCAGTGCTAAGGTGTTGGACACGCGGTTCAAATCCACCAGCTGCTAAGAGAAAGATGGGCAATCTTCTCCCATGTGATTTACTGCCTTTGAAAACCCTCTGGAAGCTCAGCCATGAGACCGTTCTGGCTTGATGGCACATAACAATTTGCAAAAGATGGGAGATCAGGTGGCATAATCGGTAGGGATTTGTCCTGCTAACCCAAAGGCTGCATCTCTCTAGTGGTTTGAATCCACCAATGACGTGTAATTGACAGGATCCGAACACGCTCTCAGAAGGTTCACGAAGAGCTAGCTCTGACTCCACGGCAGTAGGAGACCTGGGAAGGTGAGGGAAAATGCTCTAACGTGGCTAAAGACCTCAGCACCTCGTGAGTCGTCTTATTGGCCCTGCGGTGAGAAGCTCCGCCCCCACGTTAGGAGCCAATCATGGAAGGAACGCGCGAGGTCAGTCATCCCAGACGCGCACATTTCCACCCCGAGACTTTCTCCATAAAAGTAAAGATGAAGAAGTGGACTGTTGGAGGCAGACGGGAACTGCGGGTACCTGCTTCAACGTAAGCGTCACTGGTGGTAAGCGCGAAGCGACCATGACCGACCGCTACCCCGTCCCCTGGAGCTGTACCGCGCAGGAGCGGAAGTGAGATCCGGGGGGCGGGACGAGCGCGGCTTCCTGGGCGGTGGCCTGCGGAGCATGCGCAGTTAAGCCGCGGGGCGTTGACTCCTTCGGCATGTGTAGGCTTTGTAGTTTTGCAAGAAACGGGGCGCAGGTTTGGAGGGTTGAGAGGGAGCACGCGTAATAAATGCTTACATTTTCTCCTTGGCGAAATATAATTTCTGCATTGCTGTAGGAATGAAATTATTGAGAGGCACTTAGCATAACAGTTCTTGTCACGTGGTTAGAGAGTTTATTACATGGACATTGATTTCCTATGAAATGTACATCTTGCTCTTCCCTTCGTTTCCCTCCTCCATTTACTCATTTCTATCACAGGCATTTCCGTGAGGTAGGTAGCACTGATTGTCATTTTAAATGCCTCCCTAACAGCGTTAATCGCCTACTTTGTTGTGATCTTCAGAACTCTTACTCGTTATCATGAGAAACTCAACACCCATAAGCCTCTCTCCAGCTTTTGTTTTCTCACACAGCCGTACTTTGCAGACATGTAAGTTGGGTTACTGACCACAGTAATAAAGCAAGTCACATGAGGGGTTTGTGGGTGTTTTTTTTTGTTTGTTTGTTTATTTTTTTTTATTTACACGTAAAAGTTGTGTTCTCATTATATGCAGTATAATGTATACTGTATATTACCTATCAGTTTAATGTATGTCAGGTGGCCTAGTAGATAAGGATTTGTGCTACCAACCCAGAGCAGGTGGTCCACCAGGGGAAAAAAAGATACGTAATTTCCTCCCATGAGATTTACAGCCTCTGAAAAAGCCCGCGAGAGGATTCAGCTGTGAGTCGTATTTATCAACACATAAGGACAGCAACATAGTCTATTTAATGTACAATGTTATTGTTATGTGCCTTCAAGTTGCTTGTGAGTCATAGCGACCTTAT